TATAAAGCAACTTGAGGAATGCAGGGCTGATCTCAAATTGCCGCTGTCACTGACTCATTCAGCCACCTTAGGCAAGGGTTTGGGTTCAACCCAAGCCTGATTCAGCCTCAGTGATCCAGTGAACTGGGGAGAACTTGGGTCAGTGTCACTGTGGTCTCTATCTATAACCGGAACTGAGCAGGGCCTGGTGGGAGCCATCTGTTTTGGTTTGGGTTTTTTGGAAGGAGCAAGTAGAGAAAGGTGAGGTGCTGCTCACCCTGGCCTGTGGGTGGTTCTGTGGAACCATCAGACTTCCAATGCTATGTGGAAATGATTCTGCCAATAGCTTATATTTGTATAGCTGAAGTCTTAGAATCAGATGACCTCCAAGACCCTTATCTGACTCTTACTAGCTGACTGTCCATAGGGAAATCTCTCTGAGCCTCAGTTTTCTCATCCATAAAATAGGGATGATCCTAATTGCACTACTTCACAGGTTTGTTGTGAAGGAAGAGTTTTGTTCTGGGGTTGCAAAGGGGAAAAGGAAACAGTCCCTTCCTTCAAAGAGTTTAGATTCTAGTGAGAGATATGAGTATATACAGAATATATGTAAAATATACTACTTAGGTAGCTGGGTGGCACAGTGGATAGAGCACAGGATTTGGAGTTAGAAAGACTCGAGTTCAAATCCTGCCTCAGACATTTATTAGCTGTGTAGACCCTGAGAAAGTCACAGGACCTTCCTCTGCCTTGCCTTCCTGAAAATTAAAATGGAGATAATAATAGCACCTGTCTGTCATTGGGTTGTTATGAGGATCTGATGAGTTAACACAGGTAAAATGAATTGTGAATTTTAAACTGCTATATAAATGCTAGCTATAATTATTACTACTATTAATAAAATAAATACAAGGTAGCAGCTGGGGAGACCAGAAAAACTTAATGAAGACTGTGGTGCTTGAACTGAGTCTTGAAGGAAGGCAGGGGTTCTAGGAAACAGAGGTACGGAGGAAATCTATTCCAGGCATGGAGGACAGGCAGAGCACAAGCCCATGTGGCTGAAATGCTGAGTCTAAGGAAATGTTAGAAGGCTAGAATGGTAGGAAGATAGAAAGGTGGAGAAAGACTTTAAATGTCAAACAGAATTTATATTTGAGCCTTGGGGCAATAGGGAACAGTAGTAGTATGTTGTGGGGTGTATGTGGGGGTGTGCTTTAAGAAAATCACTTTGGTAACAGTGTGGAGGATTGGTTGTAGTAAGGAGAAATTTGAGGCAGGAAGGCCAAGTAAAATGAGGTTATTGCAATTAAGTCAGGAGAGAGGTAGAGGAGACATACGCCAGATTTTTTGTAGAGATAGAAAGGACAAGATTTGGTAATTGACTAGACATGTAGGGTGAGTGAGAACAAGAAATCAGTCTTAATTTCTGAGTAAAAATGAAGTTTTTTCAAAAGATCTAGGGAGTTGAGAATCTCAGAAGCTCCCCTTGTCCCCAAACTGGCTGTATCTCAGGACTGACTGAACAAGTTTCAACATCACCATGGAGCCTCAGAAATTCAGTGAGTCACATAGCCTTTCCATTCATTTCACTCCTTCAACATTCTTAGAGCTAAGCTATGGCAGGTACTCAGGGGAATTTTCTTTTCCTGTCTCCCCCCCCCCCCCCCCATTTAGCTCTAATTCTGTATCCAATGGTAAGGGTAGAGCAAAGTCAAAAAGTCTCTTAAGAGCTTGAAGGGACCCCACTAAATCACTTAGGACAAAAGTCACTTTACAGATGGATAAATTGAAGACCAGAAATCCTATCTTCTTCCAAATTTCCCTGTTACTAATAGGGGCACCAACATGTTCCCATTTACCCAGACCTGAAACCTTAATGTCATCCTCTACTCCTTATTCTCACTCACCAGATACCACCAATCATTTGCTAAGTCTTGTTTATACCTTCACATCATCTGCGGTAGATGCCCCCTTTTCTCCCCTTACAAAGCTTCCACCCTAGATCAGGTTCTCATCACCTCTCACCTGTACTATTACAGTAGTATTACGAATAGTCTCCATACAAAAAGTCTCTCCTGACTCTCCAGGACTTTAGCATTTAAAGGTCTTCACAACCAGATCTTTTCCTTATCTTCTTATGTTGGATTCCTCTCCATAGACCCCAAGATCCAGCCATACTGGTCTACTTGCTATTCTGTACAAGATGTGCCATCTGTCTCTTTCCTCTGGCTGTCACCCATCTCTGGAACACTTTGCTTCATCACTTCCACCTCTTTGGATCCTTCCATAGGAGACTTTTCCCGGGCTTCCACTCTAAAGCTACCTTCCATATACTCTGAATGTATCTTAGCAGTACCTATTAATTTATGCTGTCTCCTTCATTAGAACAGAAGCTTTTTTGAGGGCAGGGATTATTTTTGCCTTTCTTTATAATCATAGCATTTAGCATGCAGTAAACAAATTCTTGCAGACTGATTGGTGGTGGTAGTAGTAGGGACTAGTAGAGTCAACATTAGAACTAAGGCCCTCTAATTTCAAATCCAGTGCTCTGTCCACCACAGTATCAACAGAAGACTGATAGAAAGTCTAAACATAAACCACAGTGGACCCTGTGTCCAGAGCCCTGGATGGTGCCCTTAGCTTGCAGCGTGACCCTGGGTGAATCACTTAACTTCTGAGAGGTAGCTTGGCATAGGGGGAAAACCCTGGAATTAGACCAGATGTAGAGGTTGAATCCCAGCTCTGATATTTGCTGGCTGTCTGTAAAATCACTTAACTAGACACTGGTTTCCTTATTTAGAAAATCATGAGGATCAAATGAAAATATTTGTAAAGAGGCATATATTAGCTCTTATCATTCTCCTCCATAAAAATGGCCTCAAGAAGCATTCCCAAGATAAGTGGGATGCATACAAAACATTCCACGAAAGGAAACAACCCAAATGTATTCCAACAAACAGGCAGGTCTCCTTATCTGTGTACATAGCAGGCACAGACCCACCTCTCAAACACAAAGCCTCAAGATCACCTACCTACAAGCACAGGCAAAGCCAGAATGGCCTCTGACTGACTTTTACTCTATTTAAATGAAAAAAGACTGGTGGTTTGGCAATTTGGGATGATTCATCAATAGCACACTATCTCCATTTCTTTAAAAGAAAAAAGTTTTTCTTGATTTTCCTAGCTGTTCCAGCCCCCAAGTTGGATTCCGCTGGGTGAGGTTTAAGCCCAGGTCAATTCCTCTTTTGTTTCCAGGCACCTGTGTTAATTCTTCATTCTAGGACCTAAGGGGAGGGAGTAGTGGGCGGGGGGGAGATTAAATAATAACCGAAGGGTCAAAAGGAAGGTTTGGAAGCTTTAATTTAATGTCAAACAATAGCAGTGAAGACTTTAAAGGGCCTTCAGGTAGATCGCCAAAGCTATCAGTTATTTCACTTAATCTTTTGAAGACTTTTCCTCATTAGTAATTTTTAAGCTTACTCATCAAAAATTCCTCCAACTTACTTTTTCTCTTCACCCACTGATTCAACCTCCCTCCTTGTAGCTGAATTATTTTTCAAGGAAGAAAGAAAGGGAGAATGCTTAAAAGACCTTGACCAAGATCTTAGTTGCAGAATTATTTAAAGCAAAGTTTCTTCTCACTCTCAATTTCAGAAAAATCCATAACAGCCCGTTATCTTATGCCTCTATATACAAGTCTGAGTAATTCACCACTACGGTAAACAGAATTAACTTTAGTTTGTTAGGAGGGCATTATCCAAGATCATCTGTGGGCCGTATTTTAGGTTCCATAAGAATTGCCTTGAGGGGATGGGGCGAAGACCCAGTTCCAGACACTGACTGCTGGGAAATGGGATCCTCAAAGATTTTTCCTCACTTCTACCACAGACAAGGATCAACCCCCAAATTAAGAGTAGGTAAGAGCAAATTCGAACTAGTGCGGATGAGTTTCTTCCTGCGAACGAGATTAACCTTTAAAAAAAAAGTCCCGAAAATTTTCTAAGGGCTAACACTCTTCTAGGCAGAGAGTTTCTAGACACCCCTGAGGAGAGCAGTGGAAGCGTGTTATCATCTGAAAAAAAAATACTTAAGATCGAAATATCCTATCCCTTGCAATTCTAATCCAAGCACAAGTTGAGCCATCAGCTAACCACCTACCATCATCTGCCCAGGGAAAAGCAGATCAAGTGCAGGTAGTGAGTTCTTCCTAGAGAAAAACTCTAGGAAGTTTGCGCTAAGGTGGGGGCTCTCAGCAAACCCTTAGAGGCATCGCCCAGGGAGAAGAAACGTAGTGACCCCAAAGGAGTACAGCAACCTCATCCCTCACGTTATAACGAACAATCTAGTAATCTATATCTTGGCTATAAATAATAAAGTACCAGTGGGAGAGAACGCATCAGGGCTAGGACTTCTGAGGGCTAACTCTTCCACTGCTGGTGAGGGCTTTAGGGCAACGCCTTCAACTTGCTCTCCTCTCCCCGGCCGGGTTGAGACTGCGGTAAATAGGTACCCCGCGCCAACAGGTGAGTGCAAGCCCCACCAAATGCTAACTATGAACGTCAGAGATGACATCCCGGAGAAGCTCAAGGCCAGAGAGAGATACACACACACACACAGAAGAATCGGCGGCAATAGCACAAACGTCTTGAGAGGGAGAACTTGTTGCATCGCCAGCCCGCAGCTCGTGGCCACGGCTAGCCCTTTAATACTTACACCCGGCAGCTCCCCCGGGAACGCTAGGCTGGAACTCCGACTCGGTTCTCACAGCCCCAGCTCAAGAGCTGGGGACCCGAGAGAGCTTGGCTCCCAAGCAGACGGACTTTCGCGAGCTCCAGGCGGCTGGTTAGCAATCCTCTCCTAGCTTAGGCGCACCTGGGCTTCTCCAGCTCGGCTCACCAGCTAGTCAATCACTCAAGCGAACAAGTTACCGGGCCCTCCCCGCGGCGAAGGGAGGGGGAAGGAGGGGGGGGGGCTAGGCAGCGGCTCTACAGAAGAAAGTTCAAAAGAAGAAACCTACTCACCTCTAGTCTAGAGTCGCCCGGGTCCTTTCCTAAGTGTTCCAGCAGGTAGGGGGTCTGCAAAGTAAACGACTTAGAGGGACTGACTGGTTGGCAGTCCTTTCATTAGGAGTGAACTCCTAAGCATCTTCCCCTCACCTCCTCCAAGCTGGTTGGACTCTCCCACCCCTGGCAGATTGTTGTAAACACACAGCGAATGGGGCTTTGTTGCCTTCTCAATGGAACCACGTGGAGAGGCGGGTCCGGCTCCTAGTAATTCCTGAGAGAGTGACTCAATCCCGCCGCTCGCGATTGGCCCTGGCGGGTGGAGCGTGAGGGTCTCGCTCCTTCCTCCGATTGGGGGTTGGCTGAACCCGTTGTGTGGAGCTCCGGAGGGGGTGTGCTAGGATAGACGGGGTTTAAAACCGCTGTGGTCTGTGCGGGTTCCCTCTGCCTATTGTTCGGCTCCCTTTCCTCGGCTAAGCTGTATAAAGTGCACGGTAGCGAAGATAGAAATCCCCAGCTCTCTGGGAAAAAGCGCATCACTTGGGGTAGAGTAAAACTGTTCGACCAAGTTGGTAATCTATGTAAAGTGATTTACAAACCTTCGACTATAGAAATGTGAACTATTATCACTGAGTATGTCTAATTCTGCAGAAGCAGAACTCCCCATTTTAATTTCCTCCACTCTCAATATACCCGGCCCTATAAACTGCAGTACTTCACCCTGGCACTTCGTATTTGTATTTTGTGTGTACGTCTATAAGTCACTTGGGTATGTGTGTACATATACATATCTATACATAAGTACATATACGAATATGTATACGTACAAATACCTGTCTGGAGGTGCTGTCAGACATAAGATACACAACATACAAATGCAAAGGAAATCACTTCTCCATTTGAGCTTTTCAAGTCAACAGGTATTAATTATACGTTTACTGTGTGCCAGGCAACGGGCTAAGTGCAGGGGATGCGAAGAAAGGCAAAAACAGCCATTACTTTCAAGGAACTCATGACCTAATAGAGGGAATCAGCGTACAAATAACTACGTTCAAACAACGTAAATAGAGGAGAAATTGGAAGAAATCTCGGGGAATTTTGAGTTATATTGTGGTTCAGTCATGTCTGACTGTGACTTCATATGAGGTTCTGTTTTTTTTGCAAAGATGCTGGAGTGGTTTGCCACATCCTTCAGCTCATTTTACAGTTTGTAAACAGAGGTAAACAGGGTTAAGTGACTTGCCCAGGGTCACACGACTAGTAAGTGTCTGAGGCCAGATTTAGCTGCCCCCAATTTTGAGTATATTTTACATTTAATCTTTTACATGTTGATTCCCCAAGTAGATAGTAGGGACCGTTTTGTTTCAGTCCTGGTATTATTCCCAGCTCCTGGAACAGTGCCCCCACAAATAAGCAGATACGAAAAAAGATTAAATCTACCTTTACTGGTAATTCCATTTGTGAACATTTATTAATTGCCTACTACGTGCCTGGTATAGGCACTCCTGGAATACAAAGACAAAAAAAAAGCTACCCCTGCCCTCAAAGAGCATACGTTCTATTGGCTGAATTCAGCAAGTATGTGCAATATAATTTCAAGACAGAGGGTGTACTAGTACTAGGGGTAGGGTGTGGTCAGGAAAAACCTTTAGAGCCGGGAAGGAAGCAAAGAATTCTTTCCGGTGGGAGGTGAAAAGAGAATGTATTCCAGACAATTGGGTGGGGGGTGGGGGGGAGGTGGATGCCAAGGGGAAGATGGAACAGCCCATACCGGGAAAAACTAATGTGCCTGTTGGACTGGAATAAAGGATGTGTACAGTGAAATACTGTAATCTGAATTAAGAATGGAAAGATAGGTGGGAGCCAAACCCTGGAAGGCCTTAAAAACCAGAATCATCCGCAAACTGAGATCTGGATGGCGGCATTAGGATATTAGATGGTCTCTTTATTGCAATTCTAAATCTATGAATTTTAGATAGCAAGACAAAATGATGTTCTGCCAAAGGGTGATCTAGAAACGTTATGGAACAATTTCAGTGAGTTTAATTTAGAGTAGAACAATTATATGAGCATTTTAAAGGAAAATGGTTTGCTAAAAAACAAACCAAAAAAAAAAAAAAACCAAACTGTTGGTGGGGATGGGGATTTAAATGTACCTAGGATCAGGCTTTCTTAACCACTACAAAAAAGCAATTCACTTGCAAATAGACACTTGGTATCTAGAATTTTACCCAAGCTCACAAGCCTTTTAATGCAAGAATCTCTGAATACCAGCCAATTTACAATGCGTTTCCAACCGATTTGTGTGTGGTTATAACAAAGTTACTTTACCTGGTTAGTGCTTACTTTTTACAAAGTGTTTTCTTATACTTTAAGGTGGCTGCTGGCAATGTCACTTAATAGTTGCATGACCTTGGACAAGTTACTCAGTTTTGGGGAGGCTTCAGTTTCCATAACTGTAAAAGGAAGTCGTTGGACTGAGTGATGGCACTATTCTCTCTTATTTAATCACCCAAACATCCTTGGGAGCAAGGGTTCTTAACTTTTTCTCTGTGTCATGGACCCCTTTGTTCTGGAGAAGCCTGTGGACCCCTTCTCAGAATGTTTATTGCCTATACTCATAATTGAATTCAATTTTTTTAGAGGTTAGTGAAAATAAAGGTACATTTCCCCCACCTGCAGGTTCATCCCTCCCCATGAAGTCTAGGGCTTTCTGGACCTCAGGTTAAGAATCTCTGACTGTAAGAGCGGTCATGTAAGCATTATTTTTTATATTTCACAGATGAGCTGTGAAATGACCTTTAAAGTGCATTTACTAATGCTATTTCATGCATTCATTAATGGGGATGCTGATTAATGGGGTTCAAGGTGATCAATTCATTTAATAATAATTTATTAAGCACCTACTAAATGCCACATAGTACACTAGGTGCAGAGAAGGCAAACCAAATAAGATCCTATTTGTAAATGGTTTTATAAACGTCAAAACGGTGTATAAAGGCCAACTGTTGCTATTAATACAAACATAGTATATAACCATGTAACACTTTCATTTTCCTCTGTGACACCTTCAAGAAGAAAGTGATAATGACATTCACAATTTAGAACTGGGACTAATAGTACAGAGACAGACTTATCCCTAGATATCTGTAGTTCAATCTTTCCAGCTTCTGAGACAAAGTTAAAATAGTTGGTTGACAAATGCCCTAGCCTGGGTAGCTAAAGGCCATGTAATCAAAGGAAATGTGCTTTTAACACAGTTCTTCAAAGATGACTACTGGATAAAAATTGGATAAAAATAATCACCTTTTATGTAAGGTGTGGTAGACACAGTGTTGGACCCTTTTCCCTTCCGTCTCAGGGCCACGCCTAAGGGAGGCCCAACCCTTTTCAGCACTCAGGATAGGGGGTGGGGTCAAGAGCCAGGCCTAAATGGAGCAGTGCTGGTTCTTGAGTCAGGAGTTCATTCGTCCCCAATGGTAGGTAAACTTCAGATACTGCATCTGAAGAAAAGGGGCATTTTTCATACCCCCTGAGTTCTCAATTTCTGCCTGGGAAACATGTAGCATATTCCCTTTCTTACCTCTTCAGATCCAAATGCCAAGGGGAAAACTAGTGGTTTTCTGGCCTTTCGTATGTAGAGGTCAAGAAAGGGTTCTGGGGCCATGTTCTCTCTAAGCACTACTACTAGGAGACAAGGTGTCTGCTTTCACAGATTTCTTGAAAATTTGAGTATGCTGCTTAGACTGGGAAGCAGGAGGCCTGGCTCCTAGCCCTGGTTCTTATACCGGCTGGGGTAGAGGCTAATGTGATTATGCCCCTTCCCACCCCACCTCACCCCACCCCCACCAGTGCCTAGCTGAAGCCTCAGAGTTTGTTTTTGTTGTCCTTATTGTTGGTACTTCATTTTCCAAGAGGACCACTGGTACCACCAGGTGATATCTTGACATGTGTATGCATTGGATTTAAGTAAGGCAGAAAAACCGTCAGTCTCATTCTCACTTCCAGTCATTGAAGTCCAACGGCAAGACAAAACTCAAGACTACTTGGAGGGCCAGGAATGAAGTGGATGGCCTTAGTGTCCTTGATATCTAAACAAGTTCTAAGCTGTCCACGGTGCCTGCTTCAGTCTCCTTCATGGCCATTGGAATATCTGCCCATTCTGCCAGAAGTCTTCACAGGCTTCACAGGTGGACTCCCCACCCCACCACCGCCATCACCACTAACACACACACACACACACACACACACACACACACACACACACACACATTCACTGATGGACCTAAGGCCTGTCAGTTATCCACAACCTCGTTTAGCCATCTGCTGAGATGATTTTACCAGGGTCTAGACTACAGCTTCTTAGAATCACAGGTGAGAGTTGGGTGAAGGTAGACACCAAAGGTGGATGAGCGGCCTGAAAAGGACTCCACTAGCCCTGACACTAGAGGTGCTAGTCCTTCCTCAACATCTCACAGAAGAAAAAAACCAAAAAACCAAAAAACTTCATCATTGAAAAAAGTAAAATTCAATACAAAACATTGTTTTAACCTTTGTCAGAGACGATCCATGGTGTTCTGAAGAAAAGGCTGCCATGTTGGAGATTTGTCATCTCTCCCTTAGTTTATCTTCTATGATATCCACTAGGGCAAGTTCCTCAGTCAAATCCTTCATTAAGATACGGTACATAAGTCTATTGATGGAACAGTCATAATAGTCTTCTAGGAACACCCAGGTTCCAATTTCTGTCCTCTAACCTAACCAAACCCCAGCAACAATGAAATGGGCCTGTTCATGGTTAAGTTTCTATATTTCTAATAGAGTTAATTCAGTGAATTCAAGGAAATACTCAGACTGCATTCAAAATATTAATAGGTTCCTTTGAACTATTCTACAGTGCCACAGATAAGAATAACTCCTATTATCTCCAGGGTTTAGTACTGTGCCTGGCACATAGTAGGAGCTTGATTAATGCTACTTGACTTGACTTGAGTCAAGAAGAACTGTCCATCTTAGGCACTTACTAGCTGAATGATTCAGTAGATGTCACATAACCTCTTTGAACTTCAATCTTCTCAATTGTAAAGTGAGTGGGTTGGACTCTCTCACTTTCCACAGCTGCTGTTCCAAACCTTTTCTCTCCTCAAACCCCACATGCTTTCAGCAGAGGGCCTTACCTCATACTTTCCCT